AGTCACACGTCAATATCTACAGAATGACGTCAAGCTAAAGAAATCAAAAAAAAGAAGTATTTTCGATTTTATACCTCTTCGTAAAGTTTGGACAAACATGGGGTCTGTGACGATTTATTCTTCAACTTTTACTCTGGTAAAAGTCACGGGTAGTAAAATCACCAATTTTATAGGCAACTTTTTGGCCAACCTTATATCAAATATCATTATCCATAAGCATGTACTTACAATTTAAATATCGGCAGCCTTAAATTATGGAAATTTTGGAAATTCTCTCTATATAGAAAATGTAAAATATCATACGAATGAGTAAATACATGCTGTTTTTGAAATGTCTCGCATGGCAGTGAGGCCGTCGCTATGGTGACACGCTTGAGGGCGAAGGGTCGGAAGAATGCTTTTGTTCTGACCACTGACGCTTTTACCCATCGCATTCTTTTCGCCTTAAGACAAAGTGAGTGAATGTTTACACTTCTTAATGTTTTGATGTTTTGCAATAGAAATATTCAGATGTTTCCTGCAGAAAGAACTGCACTGGCAGATCTGGACGCGCGCATAAAAGCTATGGAGCGGAGGTTGGAAAATGCAAAAGCATCTAGGGTACCAATTTTTTTTTTCTCTCTCGCTCTCCATCTCTCTCCCCTCCCCCCTCCTTACTGTAGCAAGACCCTTTCAGTGTTAGATTGCTTGTAGAGGAGAAAAGATAAGGGAGACGTACATGAGTAGTTGTCAGGACTGATTTGCACATTTTCGACATACACTTTTCTGCAAATCATGAACTATGACTTTGCAGAAAGTGTGTATGTATATAAGTAGTGAAAGAAGCGGAATTTAGCCCTTTGCTTGTTTGTTTACAACTACAAAATAAAACAGTCCTAGAAAATTGTAGCATGTAGCAAATAAAAAAGAAGGACTTCAAATTGTTTCATGGCAGCTGTCATAATATGCAAAATACGGCTGCAGTTTATACCTCAAATGCAAGAGGATCAAGTGGGAGCTTTCCGTATTAGAGAAAACAGCCTTTGCATACATATGAGATGCTTTCTCGAGATATAAGTTGCCGTAATTTAAAAAATGATATCCTATTAGAAAAGTTTAGATTTAGCGTAGTTATTGGTCTTCTATGTTTTGAATTGATTTTTTTTATGAAGAGAGTACAGTTCAGCTTTTAGGATTTAATATAAATTTAGTTCTAGCAAATCTGGGCTGAAAAAGTAACTATTTTTTTCAAACATAACAAATCATATAAGTATTAGATTGTTAAAATCATAAAAGTACATTCTCTTGGAAAATCATATTTGATATCAGCAAGTTAACAACCTATTGTTCACCAAATTTCAGTAGTTCAATATGAAAGGAATCGTCGAATCCGCTAAGTAAATTGACAAATCTTTGAGTGGTTATCGTAATCAGCATATCAGATTGCCACAGTACCCCAAGCCTCAACCCTCAAAGCAAGAACTGCGAAAAATCTATAAATCGACAAATTCGATCAATGGAACATTGTAGTAATCATATTTGTTATCAGCAAATGAACTTACCTCAGTGTATCACTTTCCAGCCATTTACAGCGAAAACTGCAGAAAACCAATAATTCGATAGAATTCGATATTTTTGCGGATAAAGCGGTTTGCGTTACCCTCAGTACTCACAAGTTTATCTGGAATTTCAACCGGATCGTTTAGGAACAAAAATTTGTAGTCAAAACATACATCTACACACACATGCACACATACACTTTATCTCGCGTAGTTTTTCCTAAGACCTCAGTCACAGAAACTTAAAACGAAGTTTGTCAGGCTTTAAGAAAAAAGAATTGATGGTTTTTCTCCTGCGTTAGCTAACATTAGAAGGTCATTTTCTTTTGAGAATATGAGAACAAGATGTGGAAATTTTTTAAAAAAGCTTCTCATAAGAGTTTGCACTCTTTTACGGGATTTGGCTGACACGGTTCTTAAGGCATAGTGGATTTCTCGCTAGAACTGATTTATCTCGTTTCGTCAGCACAGGTGTCTTTTCGTTTTATAAAATATAGAACGTTTCCATCTTTGCTTACACAAAGTCATATTTTTGTATTCGTGAGAGAAAGTTTATTAGAAGCGAGAATGAATGCATTCTGTAACTGCCTTTCAGGACTCGTACCTCGACTATCTTAAATCGAAGTATCCGCGATGGAATTGCTCATTAGCCGGACGCACTTTCGGTGTTAGTGGAGATGAATGGCGATGTTTCGTTCTGTTCTTCCATCTAGTTTTATTTTCAGTCGTCGAAAGACGTTATGATGAATCGGCTCGCAATCTCTGATTACAATTGGGATGAGGATTGCGACCGACAACAGAGAGTGCAACGGTTCTCAAAGCAACCGCAGCTATACCAAGACATTCCCAATGTGTAATTTTGTCTCGAATATTTCCCTATTTTGGCTAGATAATGTCAACTGTGCTCATAACCTTCAGAGGCCCATTTTTAATGTCAGACGTTGCTCGAGTGAGACGACGATTGAAAGAGATAGCACATCAACTAGATGTCATGAGAGAAACACGTATGAATCTTACCACCGAAGATTATTTCAGAACACGAGTTGATCTCGAAGGTGTAGTCAACAAGTAGCTTTTTAGTTAAGCTATATTCTTCTTAGCTTTTTTCAAAGCTATTTTATATCTTGTAGCATATAATAAAAGCGAAGAAGATACAATGTTGGCGATTCGGAACCGCC